TAGAATCAAACTTGTGTCCCCAAATGTCCTTCAGTGTGGGTCCATCCACTGGAGCCTGGCCAACCTACCAAGAGTCTCACCTTTACATGAAACTAACTCTATCCTCCCAGTAGCCATTGGTTGCCAATACTTCCTCAGGCAGGGTTAGGGGTTCTTTCCCCTCTTCCAGTGTCCATCATGGGATAATTTCTGGCTTGAGCTTATGTGGGACTTGTGCATGCTGTCACCATTGCTGGAAGTTCATATGATTAACTGCCCAGTGGCCTGGGAAACTGTTTCCCTGTGTTCATCTGGTTCTTACAATTTTTTTTGTAACCTATTATTTTATGCTTATTGGCCAGTTGTGGGTCTCTGTGTTAATTACCATATGCCTTATAAGGATGCTTCTCTGGTGAGAGTTTAGAGATGCATTAATCTATGGGTATGACAGGAAGTCATTAAGAGTCTCAGTTTAGTACTGTATTTATTTTGAATAATATTAGTTAAGTTCTTCCCTGTGCCCTTTAGCCCGTTCTAGCCTTAGGTTCCTAGACCTGATGCCAATATCATGTTTGGGCTCCCTCTTATGAAGCAGACCTTAAATCCAATTAGAAAGTTGGTTACTCCTATAATATTAGTGCCGCTATTGCACTAGTGGACATATCTTGCCAGGCCAGTTGTTGTTGTAGCTTTGGGAATTCACAGCTGGGAAGAATGATTGTTAATTTTCTCTTCTTGTAGAACACATAGCACCTTCCAACACTATGAAAGCTAGTCAGTAGAGATGAAGATTTGAAGTCACTACCAACTTGATTTCTCTTTTACAGCTCATGTATATAGTGTCTTCAGCAATAGGGTCTTACTGTCAACTTATGGTGGGTAACCAAGAGCAGGTACAAGTGACTAGTAGTGTTTGAGGGTTTATGGGACCCCCTGGTCAACAGCTTCAAAAGACGGAGTCCATTCCAGACACTGGGTTTTTACTTTGGTAACCTATGGGGTCTAGTAAGGACAATGTCCCTCTGTTATAAGGTAATTTATTTTAATCCCTTTTTATCATATATAGTATATATAGCATAAAAGTGTATATATATATATATATATACACACACACACACTTTAAGAAGCTTCAATAGTGGTAGGTTTCCATATGGCTTTTTCTAAAGGCCCTTAATGTTACTTATCCCTCCCCATACTCCCTTCTGTACCCTGCCCTCTCATTCCCCACCCATTTAATACTTCCTACTCTATTATTACTTTCCCCCTTCATATAACTCCACTCTATCTTCCCTCCAGGAAGCCTCCCCACCTCATGGCCATTTATTAGCTCCCCATTTTTCTCTCATAGTTGAATGCTAGCTTTGAATTCTCAGATATGCATGTTTCAATTGGAAAATTCTGAGAAGTCAGGGGTCTTCTTCTTTTCAAATACCCCACTGAGACTAGTGCTGTTCTTATTTGCATGTATGTAGACTGCCCACTGGAGCATGGACAACCTACCATGTACCACTTCCTTGCAGG